CTCAGCTGCTGATCAGTTTCAACAGGCTGAATCTGGACTCCAGTTCTGACTTACATACAGATTCAACTTAAGAACCCCAGGCAACTCTGCCTCGGGCTTCCTGTAGTCAGCGCTGGTCAGTTTCACCAGCGGCTGACTTGGGGACGCCTGGGGCAGAGCAGCTGGGGTGCTGCCGGGTTGGTCCCGTAGCGCCCATAGCGGCGCTACGGGACCAACCGGCAGCACAGTTTTCCATTTGCAGATCCAATCTCAGACTTTCTTTTAGTCCAAAAATCAATAGACCATTAGTAACCACATGAACATCTAGGGCCTGATTTTCCTTTGCCTTTTGTGTTATGTATTCATTTACACTATTTAAATACATGTAAAAAGCTACGCATTTTGCTTTGGTAGCATTCACGTTTTCAACCTCTTCAAGGACCCTTTACACTATCAGAGTAGTGGGAATGGGACTTGGCGCCATAGTGATGTACATCCACTTTGCTCTGGAGTAAATGATTACACAAGGTGTAATCATCCTTGCAGTTACAAACCAGCAATAACTTTCTATGAATCTATTGCTAATAAATACTAAGTTTCTCAGATTCTATTCCCACATTGACCAAAAAGATCAACATGTCAACAACTCCACTGACACTGAGTCAACATGAAAAACAAGTTAATTTATTCTTACTGGTATGCTAAATCACCATGTAGAGCCCCCAAATATATTGTTCATCAACTAAAGAAGGTTCTTACATTCAATAGCCACAGTGAATGACTGTTTACATTCTTTGTTTTATGTTCATCCCAGTTAGGTGCATTACAGATTTCAAAAGAGACTTGTTCACAAGTACTGTTTTTACCATTTGATTTTCAAAATTCTGTCTGGCACTTGTCCTATGTATAGCTTTATTCAGACTTCATTAATGAATAGTCTGGAAATAATTTCATATACAATTCTGTATTACACTGAATCTTATGTATGCCATCGATTCATGGAGTGTCACTGGCATTTGCCAGGGATCTGTAAAATTGGAAATGTGTGTTCATTTATTATTCCTAGCTTAGATAAGAGCTTTCTAAGTGCACACTTCCATACTACTAGCTCACTGGTTTACCATTCTGGACACACAGTCCTATGGGTTTCTCTTCCCCTCTCGCCATGTGACTTATTTTACACTTTCTATATAAAGTTAAAATTAAATTGTGTTAATCCCATCAGTCATGTTGCACAAACAACCCCAGCTGTGGGAATGCCAGATATGGTTTAGATTACACCTGCTCTGTGCAATCTGGCTTTTATATACTTTACTATCTGGAGTTACCCGGCATTGCTCGGTTGTGCTCCATGCCGGCCAATTCGCTTCCCCCTTCCACCCGCCAGCCCTGCTTCCTGCCGGTCGGTTCTCCTCCTCCTGATCTCCCTGGCCAGCGCTACCCCCGACCAGCTCTGCTTCCTGCAGATGCCCGAGCTGTTGTGTGTGTGGGGGTAGGGCAAGTCCTGGACGGCGCTGGGGGCTGCAGGTAGCGGGCACATGACGTAGGGTGGGTGGGGCGGCCCCTGCAGTGCAACGGGTTATTTTTTATTTTTACAGGTTGAAATAGGGCCCAATTGGGTCCAAGAGTACTTTAAAACCTTCTCCTGGAGGAAAGGCTATCCCATGCAAAGTTTAGTTGCAGTAGCTCTTACAGTGTCCAAGTTATTAGAGCACAAACATACAAGCATTCTCCTTTTTATTTATATTTTATATATATAATATTATTTATTATTATTTTATTATTTATTATATATATATAATAAATTAAAAAAAATACAGTTTAAGGGATGTAACTTTAGCCTAACCACATAATTTCTGTAGTGTGACCATTGATGTACACAGGGTGAGCCATAGATTAAACATTAGATTATTATTTCTTTCATAAAGGAAAAGCTAGTTTTGTGATTATCTAAATTAATCATTTGAACCAGAATTTTAAAAAAGCAACTCAAAACAAACCAGGATGTTAATCTTTCACAATAAAAATAATAGGAAGATCAAACTCATTATTTAGAGATTTCAAATAAACAGGATATTAAAATGTTCAGAGTAGGATTTGTTTTCATTTCAGCTGACACTTCTGGGAGACAAATATAAAAATTAATATGTGATGAGCTACATTTTAATAAAATACTGAACTGAAATTCTAAAGGATAATTTTAAATTGGAGATGAATTCACTGAATAAATAAGGAAGATTGAAAAAGGTCTGGTATCTGCTTAACCATGTTCTGTGCTTCCTGGTTCTTGAAAGAAATCCTTCCTCTTCCAGTGTAGTATAAACTTCCAGCAGAAGCAAGGAGTAGGAGACAGGAGAACAGGGGCTACATGCTGACTGCTGAGGTCAGAGGTCAAGTAAATATGGACTGATGGAGCCTTAAGGGCCAGAAACAAGCACTGAAACTCTCTTCTCCACAAAAATATGAAAATGGCAGGAGGGAAAAAAGAAAAAAGGTCACATTAAGTTGTGTAGCCTACTCTCAGCTTTGAAGCCAACAAGCCTGAAATTGCTGGTCCCCAGGTAAAGCTTCTCTGTTCTGACACAGGCAGAGGAGGAACAGGGCTGGTCAAACAGCCATGGCAGCAGGCAAGTCTACAGAGGGAATCTGGATGCTCTGGTGGGCGGACTTCACCATTCAACAGGCCAGAGAATTTCTCAGCTTCTGAAGTCCCAATTTTTGTTCTTTTGGGAGTGGTCTGCTGGGGCTTCATCTGAAGTCCACTGAAATCAATGGCAAGTCTCCAATTTGTGTCAGACCATTGGTGCTCAACATCTAGTCCCTGAGGGTATGTCTACACTACCCCGCTAGTTCGAACTAGGAGGGTAATGTAGGCATACCGCACTTGCAAATGAAGCCCGGGATTTGAATTTCCCGGGCTTCATTTGCATAAGCCGGGCGCCGCCATTTTTAAA